AGCCCCCCAAAATTCTTGAATAGTAACTTCTACGCCCCACGTCTGTGATCAACCATACGTTGACCTCACACCAAGGCTTGGATAATTGAACCACATGCACCCAATACTAGGGATGTAAATCTCTCTATGTAACCGCTAGAATTTCAGATCCCAGAGTGTGACCCCACATTCATCAATTCTGCACCCCGGGCCAAATAACTGGGGAAAGGAGCGACCGTCAAAAGAACATAAGAACATGAGAATGGAGGAAACTGCAACGGGCCTATTGGCCCAACCTGGGCAGAACCATTTACACCCAACACCTATTGCTCATATATGCATCAAACCTATGTTTGAAGCTATTCAGCGTATTCGAGTTAATGATGATATTTGGTAACTTGTTCCACTCGTCTAGTACTCTATTTCCAAACCGATATTAACCAATTTCGCGCCTAAATCTAAATTTGTCTAATTTAAAACCATTGTTACGAGGTCGCTCCTCGTTGGATAGTTTGAGTACCTTTGTAATGTCCCCTTTGTTCAGCCCTGACTTCCATTTATACACCTCTATCATATCGCCCCTCACTCTACAGTACGTCTCTCGAGGGAGTGCAAATTAAGATGCTTTAACCTGTCTCTGTACTCAAGGTTCCTGATGCCCGGGATTAGTCTTGTCATCCTCCTCTGAATTCTTTCCAAGGATTCTATATCCATTCTGTAATGCGGTGACCAGAATTGAACTGCGTAATCCAAGTGAGGTCTCACAAGCGCAAGATATAGTTTTAGGATGACCTCGCTAGTCTTGTAACTAACACGCCTTTGAATGAATCCAAGTACTTTATTAGCCTTGTTTCGAGCAAATACACATTGCTTACTTGGCTTTAGATTCTTACTTATCATTACTACTAAAACTCTCTCGCAGTCGGATTTCTCCATATCATCGTTGATCATCTGGTATCTGTTTTCCCTGTTTACATCTCCTATACTGAGTACTTTACATTTGTCCACATTGAATTTCATCTGCCATTTTTCAGACCATTCGAATTTGTTTTTCCTTTACTTTTGCGGAGTCATCGTCAGATTTTAGTACACGCTCTATTTTAGTGTCATCAGCAAATTTACTTATGTTGCTGTCTACGCCGATATCCATGTCGTTTATGTATGTAATAAATAATAATGGTTCAAGTACTGAGCCTTGGGGAACGCCACTAGTGACGTTGCTCCAATCGGACTTAGTGCCGTTAATGCTCACTCGCTGTTTCCTGTCCTGTAACCACGCCCTAATCCATTTTAGAATATCTCCTCCAATGCCATGAGCCTCCACTTTTCTTATTAGTCGAAGGCTTTGATAAAGTCGAGATATACCACATTATAATTATGCCCCTCATCCACTGATTCGAAAACAGATGAAAAGAATGTTAATAGATTAGTTAGACATGAACGCCCGGTTGTGAATCCATGTTGGGAATCATTGATCAACTTGTGCTTCTCCAGGTGATTTCGAATAGAGTTTGAAATGATTGCTTTCAGTAATTTGCCCACAATTGATGTTAGACTGCTTGGACGGTAGTTAGATGATAGTGGTATATCTCCCTTCTTGAAAATCGATATTACATTCGCTATCCTCTAGGATTCTGGTACTACACCCGTTTTTAAGGACATGTTAAGCAACTTTGCTAAGGGCATACTCAGGTCTTCCTTACATTCCTTTAATACTCTGGCAAATATCTCATCGGGACCTGGTGACTTATTAGGCTTTAGCTTGTCGATTCGCTTACTATCATCGTTACTTGTCACTACTATCTCGCTTAATTTATTTCTTCACTATCTCTGTATAGAGTCGGTGCCTCGGGTATCATGTTTAAATTTTCGGTGGTGAAAACTGTTGAAAAGTTTTTATTCATATGATTGCTCATTTTCCGTCGTTAGCAGTTAGCTCGCGGTATCTGACTGTAGTGCTGTGGTGGTGGGACGTGTGTGTGGGAGCTCCGTGTATTTCGTCGAAAAACTGGGTCTTTCCAGGAGTGCCCAGTCTGATTTCTAGGAAATCTGATTCGTGATGAGTGACTAGTGAGCGTCGTGACCAGTACAATATCTATCTGCGATCCACCCCAAGTAGATATATTTGTCAATTTACTGGTGAATCTGTGTCTACGACGTGAGTTGTAGGCCCAACAAGCTCCCCTTAGTACCACGGCTTGTATTCTGAACCCTGTCCACCCCCACCGTCCCACCAGGCCACCCAGCTGACAACACAACTAGACCTCTTCCCTACTGCCAGCTACTCAGCCCTCACTAGCTCTAATATGCCTAAGTTGGCTGCTAGTGTCAAAATTTCAAATTTCACGAAACAACAGCTGACTGATGTGATAATGGAAGTCCAACGGACTCTCATACAGGACATCATACAGAAAATGAATAAGGAGACCATCAGGAAGCTAGAAGAGGATGACCGGCGTCTCACTGACCATATAAGTGAGATTAAAAGAAGCTTGGAATTCTCGCAAGGGGAAATAAGTGA